GATCTTTAAAATAAGTAAGTAAAAATATAAAGAGGAAGCGTACGTAGTGAGGTACAGGAGTTAGGGCTAAGGCACTAGAGACCTGGAGGAGACAACTGATGGCTCCCTCGCCCAACTGGCAGTGCGCCCCGTCATGCAGGGAGAACGTAGCAGTGCAAACGCCCCATTAGAAAAGGAAGAACTGCCTAGAATGTAGGCCAAACCTGCTACCACAGTTATGGCTCTGATGTCTTAGCACGAGTCTGTCTTGGAAGACATGGTCCCGGGACGTGAGGGTGATGAGACCTGGCCTGACATTGCTTTGGACGTGTTATCCGGAAGGATTGTCTCTACAGAAGAACCTCCTCTTTGGCAGAGGGTCAGTGGAAAAGAGGAAGCCGCTCAGCAAGGTGACGGGGCCTTGGCTGTTCCAGCGGGCCCACATATAACAGCGCGTCTGGGGTGACCCAGGCCCAGGTGTGTTTCATGCTGTTGGTCGAGGGTCCCTCAGAGCTGGGACTGACTGGGGGCACCGAACACCGATGACGACGGTGGTTAGAAAGATAAAAATCATATCCATCCTCCTAATAACAAGAGCTCCAACACCTCGGATTTGTAGTAACTTTGAGCTTGCATGTGTCTGCGAGCACTTGTTAACACTGACGATGTCACAGCCCTCTTTCCCAGGCAGAGAAACCGGCGCACAGAGGAGTTAAGTCAGTTTGCCCAAGAACCCCGAGGGGGCTTTCCGAGCTCTTAATCCTTAATCAATGTTGACTGCTTTCGCCTGGTCATCTTACGTCACGTGTGTGTATAGAAAGCAGGCCATGCGTGGAATCAATAGGAAAGCCATTTTCTCTTGGAGGTATTACCATGAGTGTGAGGATTCACCATAACCTCGTAGCCCCGGTGGCTGAGGACTGCCCTGATCCCACTGCGGGAGCCGTCAGGGTACGTTTCTCCTCTGCTCTTCAGTGGGCTGGGTCCATGGACCCTGACTTAGTCAATGATCTGTCCAAACTTGCTGCCTGATCCCCCAGTTTGAAGGCAGCCACCTCTTACCATTAGAAGAGGACTATAGAGAGTTCAGTCAATCTCTGCGCATGTCATGAAAACACACACCAGGCCGCCTCCCACCCGGCACCGCCTTTCCACCTCCGCTCAGTGAACTTGGCTGGCTTTCCCTAACATTTCGTTTGCCTCTCTCTGACTTTCAAAAACGAGAAAACCTGGTTTCTGGATCCAAACTTCAAACGTCTCTGAAGATACCGTCCATGTCTCATTGTCTTCCAGGCTCCCCAATACAGTCCGTCACATTTATTAGGTGAGAATATCGAACCGCTAACTTGAAGCAATCTTGCACAAGAAAAGCAGGTGCTTAAAAAAGCTCCAACCTTCCTTCTTGGTTTTACTCAAACTTCTGTCGTCTGTCACATTGGGTCTTCGTGAAATGTGGCCTGCGGGTTTGTGACTCCCACACGTGTGTGCGGTGGGGAGGGTGGTCCTCCCCAGACCTGTGCTGGTTTTGGTATTTAGGAACTGAGCTGAGAAAGATGCCTTTTGATGCTGGAGGTTAGATAATAAGAGAGAGGGCAGAAATCCAGGGAATTAGAACCCAGACGACAAAGCGAGCTCTCTGTCTGGGATTGGATTTGATTTCGATTAAGCCCCACGGGGCAGCGGATGGAGCTGTATCTCAGTTTCCAAACCTGTGTTTGGCTGAGACTCAGCCAGCCCCAGGGGGACGAGGCAGGTGCCCAGAGGTGTGTGTCTGTGCTGGGCAGACAGTACCTGGAAGTTATTGCCACTTCAAATGACCTCTCGTTGCAGCTCAAGGAGTACGAGGCCCAGCACCGGCAGACCGCTGCCCTGGATCCTGCCGACTGGCCCGATGGTTCCTACCCATCCTTCGACAGCTCATCCAACTGCAACGTAAGTTGGCCATCTTCCCTGGGGTCTTCCTTTACCGCTTTTGTAATGAGGGGAAGCCCAGGGGCTTCAGCCTCTGGAATCTCTTTCACCTGTCACTGTGTTTGACCTAATTATCCTGGGAGCCCTCCTGAAGGTGCTCTGGTGGTGCTCTGGGTGAGGCAGCGGGCTTCTAACTCCAAGGTCCGCAGTTCAAATCCACAAGGTGCTCCTTGGGGGAAAAGGTGTTTTCTGTCCTAGGAGGGCTTTATAGCCTCAGGAATCCTGTGTAGGGGTGGGAGTTGACTGAGTGGCGATGGGTTTGGGGTTTTAAAGCCCCAAAGAGATTTTGGTCTCTTTGAAAGCAGTGAGCCCCCTGAGCAAGATGGGGCTGCTGGGTTACGTTTGTGTCTCCAGTGACAATCCAGCTCAGGTGGCTAGGTTGAGAACTGACCAATGAGCTCTACTGCACGACACGAAGGCTGCCGTGAGTTGGCATCGGCTTGGCTCCACTGGCTTAGGTTTGGTTTGGGGCCTTCATTCTTTGTACATCATTCACTTGCTGGGCACCTTCTTAGGGGTCCTGGGAGCCCTGGTGGCGAAGTGTTTACACATTGGGCTGCTAACCACAAGGACAGCAGTTTGAAACTACCGGGCGCTCCCCGGGACAAAGAGGAGGTTTTCTACTCCTCTGAAGAGTTTCGATCTCGGAACCCACAGGGGCAGTTCTCCCGGCCCTGTGGGCTCCCTGAGTCAGGATTGACGTGATGGCATTGAGCTTGGAGGTTGGCTCCTTAGGGCTCCTGGCGGCGCCATGGCGACGAGCTCAGCAGCTAACAGAAAGTTCTGTGGTCTGAGTCAGCGGGTGGTGGGAGCACAGACTTGGAAAGATGACAGCCTAGGAAACCCTATGGGGCTGTTCTACTGCGTCACCTGGGCTTGCTATGAGCTCGGCGACCCTCGGGAACAGCAGGGACTAATGGCCTTGAGGTGCCTGTGGTAGGTCAGACAGGTATCTCCTGGTGCTGAGATCACGCTGGCGAGGGCAGGGTGGCGGGAGGGGCCTCTTCCTTTTGTGACATGGCTGTTTCATGGGTTTGTTAGATAATGTCGTCCTTAAAGTTTTGGGAGGGGTTTTGCCTCCCTGTTTTCAGCCACTTGTCCTATCTGTGTCCCAAGAACCCCCCTCCCCCCGGCATCTTCTCAGCACATCCTTCTCTTCGCGCCATCCATCGTGCCGGGGCGCTCGATGGCTTCCAAAGCAAGGCCCGACCGCCACCCCCACTGTTGTGAGAGGTCCTGCATGTGGCTGCATTCGATGCTCTTTCTTTCTTTCCCAGTTGTGGTAAATAGCTAGGGGTGCGTACAGGGACTTCAGAAAGCTCGTGGAAAAATGGAACTAAAAGATAATGGAATTTTTTTCACAAGCGATCTGAATATCTATCAGTTTGCCATTTCAACCTGCTTCTACATGCAGTTCGGTGCCATTAAGGACCAGGCCCCATTTCTACATCTCCTCCCCTTTCCCATCACCCCTCAGAAGCTGCTCTTTGTTCCTGGAATCGCTTCGCTGGCTTTGCCTAAGCTAGTTGTCCAGATGATTAGAATTGAATATACGGGGCTAAGTGGGGAGGTATGTTTCTAAAAGTTGGTAGAAAGATTTCATTATCTTTTGATTTCTTTTTCCATGAACTTTAAAAAAATTTTTTACTAAAAGATCATTTTATTGGGGGCACTTACAGCTCCTATAACAATTCATACATCAATTGTATCAACTACAGTTGTACATATGTTGACATCATTATTTTCTGGACATTTACTTTCTGTTGAGTCTTTGGGATCAGCTCCTCTTTTTTCCCTCCCTCTCCCACTCCTGAACATTTTTTAAAGGGTTATATATGGATTTAATTTTCTGCATTCTGTACATCTCCTGTTGTAATGAATGGGGAGTGGATGATCGGTCGTCAGTAGCACTATCACTGCCTGTATTGTGGACCCCATCACAGGAGCCATGTGTTAGGTGACCAGAAACTGACCTCCGATCCTTTTGAGACAGGACCAGGGAGCTCCTCAACGTTTGTGGGGAAATTCCGCTATCCTCTTTTTTCTTAATAATTGTATTGGCATATACTTCACCGATCACACAATTTAATCATTCAGTCATATTAAGATTTATGCAATCACTGCCACAATCCGTCTGAACATTTTCTTCTTGTGTTTATTGTGGTTAGCTCCCTGGTCATCCCCCTCCTCCGCTGCCATGTCCCCCTCCAGTGACTGTCCCGAGAGAACTCCCTGTTGTGGGTTTCATATACAGAATCCATGAACTTTTTGAAGCCCCACCACCACCCCTGAGATTTTGGTCTCTTTGAAAGCAGTGAGCCCCCTGAGCAAGATGGGGCTACAGGGTTACGTTTGTGTCTCCAGTGACATTCCAGCTCAGGTGGCTAGGTTGAGAACTGACCAATGAGCCACGGTGCATTTGGATGTTCATCTTTTCGGGCTTCTTTTAAGAGCTGGGCTTATGTCTTGTCGCCTCCCGGCTGAGTATCAGAAGTCAGTACAACCCGCCCCTTCCTGTTGCCCTCGTGGAGCGAGAGAAATGCTGCGTTTGCATGGCCCCCAGACCAAAGAGTCATGAACTTGCAAGTCCACCTGGCTTGCTCTTGTGTAAAGGAGACAGTCCCGTTGATAATAGTCAATGTGTCATGTGCTGGCCAGCCGTGTGGCCTGGGACGATGAAGTAATTACGGGAGCTGTGCTGTGGGTTTCAATTTGCTTTTTAATGCTCTGATCCCCACATCTTAAAGACCAACAGACTCTGTCAACCCCGGGCCCAAAGCATCCTGAAGAATGTGTACAGTAACCCAGGGTTGATGTGATTCAAACCCAGCTGGGGGTGGGGGTCGGCATGGGGAGATGGGACGGGCTGGGGGACAAAGACCCCATTGTTCATACTGGGTCCTTTCGAATCAGTGTCGCTGTACTCTCCTGATTAATAGCATCTGAGTCAAGAGAGAGGTTGCGAGACTTTGTCCATTCAGAGAACCCTCACACACTTGGACTGCAGAGAGAAAGACTCTCTCTCAGGAACAAGCGAAGACAAATACAGCACCGGGGACCTTGGGACAAACCACCAGAACGCGTCACTCAGTGTCGGTTTGTGGTGGCTCGCTCAGAGGGTGCATCCGCACCGTCCCTGCCCAGAGGTTGTGTGAATGAAGCGGGCCCGTCCTAAGGGTTGGGCAACACGTTTGTACTTCCACCTTTTTCACAGGGTCGAAGCAGACCTCACCTCGTTCTGTTTCGAAAGTGTCCCGCCACAGGAATTCAGTGTCCCCGAAGCCAAGGTTTCTTCTCCCCCGCCCCCGGCCCCACTACTGTTCGTAACCACCAATCATCCTTCGTCAGCACACATGTGTCTGGTTCATAAGAGTGGTCCCGTGTCGTATTTGTCATTTTGTGACTGGCGAATCTCACCCAACCTGTTTCAAGCTTCTTCAGAACCCCGTTTCTCTTTCTGACACGAGACACGGTCCGTTGTATGTAAGACATTGGTGTTTAGACTTGTTAGTCTTTCCAGCATTTTTTGTCCAGACGCAAGTGGTGGGGGGGCTGTGCTCTGGTTGCAAAAGTGAAGGAGGAAGAGACATCGGCCCTGTCCAGGTAGAGTCATAAAATCCCATCAAGTGATTCTGGCGCTGTAACTACTGGGTTCACACCACTGCCCTTTCATTTGGCAGCTGAAAGCTTAGCCTGTGTGTCACCAGGGGCCATTAGCACGTATTTTAACACAGAAGTTAAACTCGGGGTTTTCTCTCTCTCTCTCTCTCTCTCTCTATCTCTCTCTCTCTCTCTCACACACACACACTCGGAGTCTCACACAGTTATGTTGTCAGCTTTTTCAGTCAACGGTTTCTCCAAAGAGGTCTGAAAAAGAGACTCAGTCTGTCCTAGTTGACGATGAACAAAGGGCCGGGCGTGGCTGTGTTCACTGCGCTTCCAGTGCAGTCTGCAGAAGCTCGGAAGGGGGTCTTCTTCTGCGACAGCTGTAGGGAGGTGGGCGACTCAGCCATGGGGAGCCTTGTCTCCGGCGATATTGTCTGCAGAATCCTTCCGTTTTACTCGTGGAGTTTCCACAAACAGCCACGTCCACGCCGGATCATGCTTTTGAATCCTGCGGCTGACCACCTTTGCCAGGGAAGCCTGCGTGAACTTGACTGTAATTCTAGGACACCGGAAACTGGGCCTCGCCCTTTCATCAGCTCATTGTTTATGGAGTCCCGGGGTGACCAGCCACTATCCAAGAGGTTGCAGGTTTGAACCCTCTGTGCCATGAGTTGGAATTGAAGCTACTGGTGTTTGTACTGAGACTCAGCAAGAAGCCCTGCCCAGCAGATTTCTTCTCATTGCTCTAGATTTGCATCCAAAGTAGAGCCATTAATTTCAGATAATTCCCAATGCCCCCTCCTTCAGCTGCCAAGCGTGAGGCACTTTGATTATCTTTTGTGTGGCAGCCAGCATGTTTCAGTTTTCTATTTACTCCTTTCGTCACCGAGATGTAAATAGCCCACTGGTCTCGCCAGGAATGCCCAGGCCCTGAGTCTCCGGGAGCACAAGGCCTTTGTCACCAGGCCTCAATGCCTGTATTGATGCTGGCCCCCCTTTGGGGTCGCATTTGCATCGATTTCAGAACTGACATTAGATAATTGCGTGCCGCCTAACAATAAATCCCTCCTCACATTCCTAGTTTCCAAGAGTGTAAAGGACTAAAGATAGTTACCAGGGGAAGTGAAAAATATTGTTCTCTGTGCCAGAAGAGGCTGTTCTCTGCTATCTGGTTTGCATTAATAGTCAACTTCTGTTGTGAGGTTTAGAGTTTCGAAAAGGATTTTGGTTGAGGCCATAACTGGATTCACTGTTAAATAGTTTCGCATTTATTTTAATATTGTGCGTTTTAAGTTTATTTTGGTGAGGCCATAACTTTGATTCCTTTTTAAAAAAAATCCATTTCATTGACATGTGATTCACGTATCCTGTAAGTCAGTGAGTAGTTCAAATACATCGAAAAGTTGTGCAGTTATTGTCACAAGTGATTCTGAACTTGATTCCTTATTCAGTATCTGAACATTTATTTTAATATTGTTCTTTATTTTGGTGATCTCCCCTCCACCCGCTACCCCCACCCACCCCTAATTTGCCTCCTGCAGGGAAGGAGAAGGTTTGTAAGAGCTGCCATTGTGGAATTTACAACTCCTTTTAGAGTTCGCTTTGGGGTTCGGCTTACCTTTTTAAATTAGGAAAAGTATTGAAAGAAATCATTCTCCCCACCTTACTGCTGTCTTGTTTCACTTGTTTTTGCTTTTGTGTGTGTGTGTGTGTGTGTGTGTGTGTGTTTTAGTCACTTTATTGGGTCTCTTACAGCTCTTTTCATACATCAGTTGCATCACACACATTTGTACATCCGTTGCCATCATCATTTTCTAAACATTTTCTTAGTTTGAGCCTTTCTTTCCCTCCTTCCCCCACCCTCCCACCCTTGTGAACCCTTGATCCATTATAAATCATGATTTTCATATCTTACACTGACCGATGTCTCCCTTCATCCCCATTTCTGTTTTTCTTCCCCCTTGGGGGTGTTTTTGTTTTTTAAATAGTTTTTACTCCTGGCACAACCTTAAAAGTGTACTTTTTATGAAACCGATGGGTACGGGCAGATCGCCTGTATCAGCTGCTTGAATATTCATGAAGACGCATGCCCCGAAAAGAGCCTTTTAAGAATGGCCAATGGCTATTCTGCCATCACCAGGCCGTCTGCATGATGGTAGAAGTCTGGCACCCATAAATGAAGCGCCAGCACCCTGTGCACCCGTCACCCACACCGGCTGTGCTATCTCTCAGTTGCTTCTTTTCCTCAGAACCTGGGCCTGGGGCGTCCTCCCCTGGGGCACCTTATGTTGGCCGACAGAGCAGTGGTGAAGCATTTTGCCGCGGGAGTTGGTAAAGCATGGCCCGTGGGTCACAACCGACCACGCTCACAGTGGGACTGTTTGGGACGTGGAGAATATTTGCACAGAGACTACGGGACGGTTGTGATGGTGTTACCATACATTCCCGTGTACTTCCCCTTCGTGGCCTCTCATTCCAACTTCCCTTCCAACTCAAAGTGGACCTTGACCACTGGGCCTGTCTGAGGCACAGGGGGCCCCTTGGCATATGGAGAGAAATGAGCCCAGTGTGGTCACTGCTTTCATTTTTGTGCTGCTGATGTGCTTCCTGCATCGAGGCCTTTC